CTAATGTTTAGCTTTTGTAAATACTCCAAATATGTTTCCAAAATCGTTGTGCCAATATGTCCTCTCATCAGAAGTATCTGAAAAAAATCTGGTTCTTAATTTTAATTTAGGTTAATTTATCAAATTTCCCCTTATTGAAGACTTTTTATCCCACGTAATAAATATGTTCCTCCTTCAAGGTCATCAAAAACATTTTCTTCCTCTCTTCTTAACAGGTTTGCTGCTTTATCTACCATATTTAGACCTGCGATTCATTTTGTATATACTGTAAAGTAGGGGTCAATATGATCATCCAGCAGCCCCAGAACCAATTTATTAGAGACTCTCCTTTCGTTGCTCTTATCACAAGGTCTTCATATTCAGTAATATGAGTCTTCTAGCTAAAAACATACAATTTTACTTATCAATATTTAATGTTAGCTGGGTTACAGCTCAGTGATAGAGCATGTGCTGAACATAAGAACAAGGCTTGAGTTCAATTCCCAGGATCCAAATAATAGTGATGAGGATGATGTTAACGAATAGCTCTACTCTACTCCATGATAGTACTAAAGCACTTTAACTCCATTTACCTCTTTCCTGATCTGTGGGCTATTGTTGAGTATTCTAATTCCATTTTTTAAACCTCAAATTATTATTTTTAATTAATTAATTATATTTTAATGCTCATTCATAGTTATATAATTTTTGCTTTGTTCTTTCCTTTTTGTATTTTTTTCTTTTTGTCTTGGAAGCATCTTCTTTCTGCTTGGAGTTCAACACTGAAATTTTCCATTAATGTAGTCTGCTAGGGACAAACTGTTTTTGTTTGAGAATGTCCTTATTTTGCTTCTATTCTTTTTTTTTTTTTTTTTTTTTTTTTTTTTTTTTTTTTTGTAGCAGGGATCAAACTCAGGTCTTTGTGCTTGCCAGGCAGGTGGTGAAACCACTGAGCTAAATCCCCAGCCCAATTTTGCTTCTATTCTTGAAGCATTTTTAAAACCTGTGCTTTGAATACAGGTTGTCAGTTATTTCCTCACAATACTTTGAAGATTTCACCTCACTGTCTTCCAAACTCCATTGTTGCTAATAATCTAAGGTGAAATAGTGTCACTTGTATTAACAGTTGTTTTGCCACTGTATCAGTTATTGATGCATAAAAACCCCAATTATTATTATTATTATTATTTTTTTTTTGGTACAGGGGATTGAACTCAGGCCCTTGTGCTTGCAAGGCAGGCAGCAGAACCACTGAGCTAAATCCCTGCCCCAACCCCAATTATTTTTTAGTAGTTTAAAAGTAAAAATTTTCCAGAGATTTAGCTTAGTGGTGCTGCACCTGCCTTGCAAGTGCAAGGTCCTGAGTTCGATCCCCAGTAGTGAAAAGAAATTGTAAAATTTTTTAATTAAAAAATAAACTTTTAACTGGGTGTAGTGGTGCATACATGCTTGTAATTCTAGTGCTGGGGAGGCTGAGGCAGGAAGGTTGTAAGTTCAAGAATAGCCTGAACTACAAAGCAAGACTTTCTAAAAACACCAACCAAAATTAAAGAAAAAAGTTTTATAATACTACAATTTTCATGGGCCACAAAATTCAGAAGCTGCTTAGATGGGGGCTGTGGCTCAGGCTGCATTGAAGATGTTTACTGGGATTGAAGTTATATACAATAAAGGTTCGACTAGGGCCACATGATAGGCTTGCAAGATGGCAAACTCACATGACTAAGCTGGTGCTGGCAACTGAGCTAGCTTTCCGCACAAAAAACAAATCAACAGTGTGCAAGGCAGAAATGACAATGTCTTTCATGTCCTAACTTTGCACACCGTCTTTTCTACAACATTCTATTCTTCAGGAACAAGTCTGCCTCACACGAGAGGGGATTCTCCACTTATTTGAGGGAGGCATTTAAAAAAACATAACCACAGACAAAGATTTTTGTCATTAGTGTTTTACACTTTTACTATGATGTGTCTAGGTGTGAGTCTCTTTTTATCTATCCTATCAGAGACTCATTTGTCTTCTTATATCTTAATCTGGTTGCTTTCATAGGTATTGGGAGGCTGGGGCCCAGGAGGATCGCTGTGAGTTTGAGACCAGCCTGGGCTACATAGTGAGTTCCAGGTCAGTCTCAACTACACAGTGAGACCCTGTCTCAAAAACCAAAAACAACAGCAACAACAAACCCAACAACAACAACAAAAAAAACCAGATTTGATTTTGGCCTGGTAATTCCCTATTGTCTGGCTGTCTTTTAGATGCCTTGTTACCGGCTCAATTTTGTTCCCACCAAATTCACACGGTGACAATGACCCCTATTAATTCATAATGTAACCGTATTCAGAAAGTGGCCTTTTAAAGAGGTAATTAAATTAAAATACGGCATTAGGATACTCAGTGCCAGTCTGACAGGTGACCTTAGAAGAAAAGGGAATTTGGAGCACAGAGACACTGGAGGTTACACAGAGAGACTCAGAAGGGCGCTGTTGGATGGGTAAATTAATGAATGATGACCGTGACCGGGTTGCCCACGTTACAGCAGGCCCGCAGCTCAGTCTCTCCGACTGCGAGAAAGAGCTGACCGCCTACCCGGAACCGCCTCTGGGTTTTGGATGCCCGCAGGCGCGAGCCGGGCGCTCGGCGGCTTCCGGCTTCCGGGTTCTCGGGCGCGCGCTCCTCGAGGAGGGCGGGACGGCGGCGGGCGCGCGGAGCGGGGTATTATAGATGATAGCCAGAAAAAAGACCAGATCTTGGGTCTGACTTAAGGGGTCAGGATGGGATTGAAAGTTTTATCACTCAGGAAAATGTCAGAGTACTCTTGTTGGTTTGATTGACAGCTTTTAACTGTGTAACTTTTCTTATCTCTCCCCTCCACCATACTTGGACCCTTGTGAATAAGTTTAGGACATCTCAAACATTTTTTTCTGCCTAGTACAATGGAATATTATGTACCCTTTAAAAGGAATAAAAGCTTTCATCTACATTCTGCAATGTAGATGAACCTTAAGGATACTATGCTAAGTGAAATAAGCTACTAATAAAAAGACAAATACCATATGATGTTACAGCACTGGGCGCTGCGGTCCGTCCTTAAAAGGCGAGCAGGGACCGGCATCTGCGACCGCCCGGTCCTCTGAGGAGACTTCTGCCGCGGAAGCCTTCGGGGTCGCGAGGTCTCCGGCCGCCCTGTGTCCCAGGCCCACCCGGTGAGTAGGCGGCTCCCCCGCCGGCGAGGACCGGGCAGCCTCGACGTAAAGATTCTTAGTCGCTGTTTGCGAAGGAAGACCGCTTCAGTGGGAAGTTTCTGCCCTCTGGTAAAGATACTTTTTATATATTCAGGGACAGGATATTTCCCAGAGCTCCAGTCTGTAGGGCACGCAGTCACCTACCTTTCCCTTCTCCAAAAAGTCGACCTGTGTTTGGGGCCACCGTGGTGGGACCTGGTCACGGTGGCGGCACCTACTCAGATGCCAGGGCTTGGATGAGGTGATGGAGTAGGGTGGTTCTCAAGTTTGCCCGGCGCAAACAATTCTGCAGTAGTCCCTGGGTGTATATTTCCTGCCTTTGAGCACATGCCCACTTCCCCCAGTTTTAACATTTCTGAAATCTGGATGCATTTTACCAGCAGCGGAGCAGGAGCTCATGTGATGAGTCGGCTTGCTCACCCCAAAACACAGTTATATGATTTTCTATCAGCTGAGATATTCGAAATGAACTTTAAATTCAGATTTTGAATTATTTTTAAAAAATACTTTTAAGGGGCCAGGGATATAGCTCGGTGGCGCCACATCTGCGTGGCAAGTGCAAGGTCCTGAGTTCAATCCCCGGTACCACAAAAATAAATAATGACAATAATAATTTAAAGATAATACTGTGATACTGCATGAAAATAAAACATTTCAGCTGGCATAGTGATGCATGCATGCCTGTAATTTCCGCGCTCTGGAAGGTCGAGGCTGGAGGGTGGAAAAGTTTGAGCCCCGCCTATACAATTTAGAGAGAGCCCGTCTCAAATTTAAAAAAAAAATTTTTTTTAAAGAAGTGGAGATGTAGCTCAGTGTAAACATTCTGGGTTCGATCTCCAGTACCATAAAAAATGTGTAAAAGAAAACGGTTATAATAATGTTAGCTAAGAGTTCGCTACAGACTTAGTATTGTCTGAGTCAGCATTACAACCCTGTGACGTGCAGTTACCGTCTCTTATTTCATAGACGAGGACACTGAAGCTCAGAGAGTCGGAGAGCCTCAAAGCTTTCATGGACAAGTGTCAGGGTTCTAACCAACTATCTGATTTCAAAGCTTGTGCTCTTAACTCTCAAGCCTGTATCCTGGCAGAAGATAGTGTGGCTTACACTGTGGGAAGACAAGGCAGAGCCTGCCCCTATTTGTACACCTTTGGATGTTTATGTATTTTGTGTGTGTCTGTATATGACATGATTAAAATATACCGTGAATATTTACCTTTTAAGAAACTTTATTGCAGTAAAAGAAACATTGCCATCACTCTCCTTCAAAATACTCCCTTTCAGTTGAGGCACACTTACTTCTCACCATTGTTGTCATTTTCTGAAGCAGTTCTGAAAGTCTTTGTGGTTGGTCTTTACAAGGTGTGATTAAAAAATACAGTGAATGCTGCTTCCAAGTGCCATTCGACAGATAGGCAGACATGTGAAAACATTCTTGTGTGCCCTCATCCACTTTACTCACCAGTGTGGCACCGTACAACTCTGGCCCTTCTCCACAGTCAAAATGACCGTGAAAGGTAAATGTTTTGAATTGGTTCAGAACTTCAAGGCAGCCACGATGTCACAAATAAAGACGCATGAAGGAAGATTATTTCAGAAAGTATTGAGAATGATAGACTAAGTGTTTGAAGCAAGGGGAAGCATCTTGAGGGATATTAGTGGCACGGTCTTTTCCTATAACATTTTTAAAATGTTTAAACAGTAACCATATTTTTAGATCATACTTTGCATTAATTCCTGCATTGATGCTAAATCTTTGTTTTATATCTTTTTCAGGTCCTGGAGTTCTGGACGTATGACAGGAACGTCTACATCTCTCCTTTGCCTGACTTTTGTTCCCCTAGAAGAGTATAGAGGCATGTACTTAAACCAGCGCACCTCCCAAAGAAACAGCCTGAGTTTCCCAGCGTTGTTAAATGGCATACCAACTGCTAGGAACCCCCTGATCCTTCTGCTGCAGGGCCATGCCAGACTCTTAAGGGCAGGCAGTAGTGATCTGAGGTAATTGTGATCACATCCAACTGTGCAGCCTCTTATTGGAGGTTGCAGAAATTTCCTCACCAGAAGTGGACAAGCTCGGTCAGGCAGGCATCATGCCGCAGCAGCTCCTGATGACCCTGCCCTCCGAGGCCAGCACCTGGGTGAAGTTGCACCATCCCAGGAGGGCCATGGAGGGGGCACCTCTGTGGGAGGATGTGACTAAAATGTTTGAAGGACAAGGTGAGAATAGATTGATAGAGGGGGCATGAAAGAGGTCTCAGAGTGGAAAGATTACCTTCACTGAGGTGGTCTCTTCGGGGAAGAAATTGGGGGAAAGGTCTTTGGAGGGTGTCATCTTTTTGTCACTGTGACAAAACACCTGATGTATGGGCCAGACATAGTGGCACACACCTGTAATCCCAGCACAAGTTCAAGGCTAGCCTGGGCTACATAGTGAGTTCAGGGTCAGCCTGAACTACAGTGTGAGACCCTGTCTCAAAAAACCTGATGTAAACAGCTTAAAGCAAGAATTATTTTGGTTCCTGTTTTCAAAGGTTTCAGTCCATGGTCAGCTGGCTCCATTGCTTTTAAGCTTGTTGCAAGGCAGAAATGTCATGGCAGAAGAGTATGGCAGATGAAAACTGCTTACATCATGAGGGCAAGAACCAGAAAGAGGGAAAAAGCAAGAGAGGAAGAGGCTAGGGACTGGACATAGTTCCTAAGTCACATTCCCATGACCTACTCCCTTCAACTAAGCCTCACCTCATGTTTCCTCATCTCCCAATGCCTTCAAATTATGATCTCAGCAATGGATGAGGTTCAAATCCTCATGATGTAGTCACTTCCCAAAAAGCCTGTCATCTGGGAATCAAGCCTTTGCCCATGAGTTTTGGGGAACTCTTCAAGTTGAAACCGTAACAGAAGAGTTAAGTTTGTGGCTTTTGGAAAAGAGAGAACTATGAAAGAAAGTACTGGGCTCATGTCCAGAATTACACCTTATTTGGTGGTCTGGTCAGGAGTAGATAGATGGGCAAGGGAATTTATGTCTCATGTGGTATCTTCATTCGTGGCTTTAGTGCTTTGTATTCAGCCAGTACTTTTCTTGTGTTCTAGCAGTATCAGGCAGGGATTTTGGTCAAGTATCTTGACAGGTGGAAAATGGATGATTCTCTCTAATGCTGATTATTAATTGATGGAGATAGACATACAGTCAAATCAAAATAGTAGAAGGTAGTCTAAGAAAAGCAGTTTGGAATACAGAGGACAGGAAACTTTATTCTGATAACATATATCAGGGATTTTCACAAGGCAGATAGAACTAAATCACACCTGGAAGGGCTCTTTTAAGTTTTTTTAATAGAAAACTTAGAGAAAGGACAGAAAAATATGTACCTTGAGGAGTGGTTCAGAAAATGGAGAATGTTTAGCCAAGTGAGGGTTAGGAGTGCAGTATGGGTCGTGTCCCACGAAAATATAAAGGATGGTGGTCTGAGTGCTTGTTAGGAGGTTCTAGCAGGGGAGTGCAGCTTCCTCGACCGAGGAAACGTTCCTCGTCTAGGTCCTCGTCTATCAGGAAAGGTTGTTCTCTTCAACTGCGTATGCAGCTTCAAGAGGGACACACACGGAGTTGTGCGAGAGAAAGGGGGCACCTGCCTAGCCTGCTAGATCAGCCAGATCAATCCTGGTGCTCAGTGGGATGACAGATGTCACAGCCAGATCACCCTCACATCTGAGGATGGTTGTTTTCACACTACTGAGAAAATGTGCTTCAGGGAGATCATAGAATGCCTTGAAGTCCATGATGTTTTTATATTATTTTTGTCAGTGGGGAGTCTTTGAGGATTTTTAAACAATTGAGTGGCCTGATAGACCTGGACTAGCGTGGACTATTAGGAAATATATATATATATATATTATTGCGCTTGCAAGGCAGGCCACCGAACCGCTGAGCTAAATCCCCGGCCCATTATTAGGAAATATTAATGCTCAAAGAAACACACCGCAGGCCATTCTCAAGGGAAGCTTCAGGCTGCTCTTGAGTCCCACTTAATGTCCTGTCATTGTTTTGGAGGAGAAGCCCCTTTCAGTGCATCCACAGGCAGTTTTTGTGTTGGCGGGATTTGAAGAGATGTCAGCCTTACTGTTCTTTTCCTTTCCTAGCTTTGCTATCTCAGGATACTGATGAGACCCAGGGAGGAAGTTTAGAGGATGAAGTGATTCCTGGGCTCCTGACAGCAGAATCTCAGGTGGGTTGGAGTTTTCTGTTGCTTTTCTCGATATTGCTTCCTGGCTTTTAAGGATATAATCCTGTCTTTTTGGGGAGGTAGGGGTGTATCGAGACTAACAAAGTCAACCAGGGGAGCTCAATGCAAATTTCTCCCAAGAAGCCTGGGTTTTTGCGGGGACAGCTTCTCTGCTTATGGTAGCCTTTCCCTCCCTATAACTCTTGTTTCTCTACATCAGCTACACCTAGATCTAGTATTGTGTTAATTTCGGTAGAGAAAGCAAAGTGAGTGATATTGTAGTCCCTAAAAACCAACACCTCTTTAGATCTAAGAGAAACATTAGTCAAATCCCAAAATCAAAATCTGTAAATGAAGCCAGGCATGTTGACAAATGCCTATAATCCCAGCCCTCTGGGAAGCTGAGGCAGAAGGATTGCAAGTTTGAGCCCATCATGTACAACTTAGTGAGTGAGACCCTGACTGAAAATAAAAACCAAAAAAAAAAGTCTGGGATGTAGCCCAGGTCAAAACCCCTGGGTTTCAGTCTTCAGTACCAAAACAAAGAACTACAAGTGAGAAGAAAGTTGTGACAGTCTTAGTGACATGTAGTGGGCTGTGGAGATATCCTTGGTATAGCACTGAAGAAGCCAAAAGAGAAGTGTGTAGAACAGAAATGGTGAGGCAGACTTTGTACCCCTTCAGAAGGCAAGGCAAGAGCAGGAGTGGTCTGAGAGCAGTGAGAACTGTCAGAAATTGGCCCTCAGTGTCGGACAGAATCAAGGGTGAAACAGAAGAAATTGCAGTATAAGTATGAAAGAAAAACCTTTTAAAAGATAGTATTATAGACAGAAGAGTTTTAGGTGAAAGGAACTTGAAATCTGAAATTAGACAGTACAAGGTTTTATTTTATCTGAAATTAGATGGTGCAGGATTTGATTTTTGTCTTTGTTTGGTGATTTTGGGCAATATTTTTAGCTCTTTATAATCTCAATTTCCTCAACTGAAATCCTTAGATATTAATATCTGTCTTCCAGGATTGAAATACATGCCAGAGTTGTTTGTGGTTATATGGAAGAAGTAACAGTAGTAGTCTAATTAGTGTTATCGCTATTCCACATATTTAGAGTCCCTTACTTCCTGACATTTATCAGACACAAGTTTCTTAGCCTTGGTAAAAGATTACTCTGTGTGTGTGTGTGTGTGTGTACCGGGGATTGAACTCAGGTCCTTGTGCTTGTGAGGTAGGTGGCAGAACCATTTTTAAAAGCTGAGGTACAAGTAATATACAGAAAATTACATTTAAGAAAATATATGACTTTATTTTGACATATGTGTGTTCAATGTAACCAAATCAATAAATAAAAACATTCCAGTCATCTGAGAATGGTCCCCCATACCCCTTTCAATTCAGTACTCCACCTACCCCACCTACCCTAAGAAATCTCTGTGTTTCTTATTCTGTGTTTATTTCTACAAGAATCTTAAGAGTTTCATTTAAAAAGAATATATAAATAAGAACCAAGACCTGTCATGTAGAGGTACAAGATCCTAACAATGAATGTAACTGTACTGTATCCCTAAAATGTACCAATAAACTCAATTAAAAGGGAAACAAAATGAATGAGGGGACTAGTCTGAGTGGAATTAATGACAGTGTGTCTTTTACTGTAATAAACTTTTAAAACTAAAAAATATATATATATTCTCTAGTAGGTAGGTGTGATGTTCTATAAATGTCTGTAAGTTAAAGTTAAATTCATTAATAATGTTGTTCAAATTTTTTATATCCCTTGGTGGAGTTTTGTCTCTGGTTTTGTCACTGAGAGAGGATGTTAAAACCTGTAATTATTGTGATTTTTTTGTATATATCTCTTTAGTTTTGTTAGCTTTGCTTTATTTATTTTGAAGTTCTGTCATCAGATATATGAACATTTGAAATGTTAGGATTGTTGTCTTCTTGAATTGAGTTTATTATCATTAGGACCATACCACCTTGAATGTACCCAGTATCAGCTGAAAATCTCTTTTTATCTAGTAGTATGTTTTTTCCTGCAGTCCACTTTGTCTGATTTAATTTAGTTCCTCCAGTGTTCTTTTGATTATTATTTACATTGTATTGGTTTTTCTATTTTTATTTTAAACTGTCTTTATAAGTTGTGAAAAAGGTGTGACCTTAAATGTAGCTATGTCTCTCTTGTTTAGTCTATTTGCAGTTAAAGTAATCATAAGTGAGGTGATTACTATGTATAATTGTATATATCTAAGTGTATGTTGTTCTTTGCTTTTAGTTTATTACTGTAGGAGTACATAATGTTATAATGTTAACATTCCTTGTGGAAAATTGGTACATGTTCATAACACATCTTAATTCTTTCTTTTTGGTATATGTTTGCAGTACATAATGTTTATATTCTTGGTGTGGCGATGGTACATTTACATAACAATCCCAATTTATTTTCTGGATTAATTAAATTGATATACTTTTGGCCCACATAATGATCACATTCATCATAGAGAAACTGTATCTATACATAACATATATTAATTCTTTTTTCCCAGTCCCTCCCTTTTCAATCTTTCTTTCCCTTTTCCTTTAAAAACTTTGTTTCTGTTGGTTTTTCTTCCATTCTGTTTTTTGTTCTTATTTCCATTTCTTTTCCGCTCCCTCTCCCTTATTCCCCTTCCCATTTGAACATTTTCTTCCTACTACCCATTATTTATCATCTATTTTACTCCTTATTTATCTGTTGCGTTTCTCACACAAGAGAATGTGGTGTTTAAACATGTGTGTGATTTATTTCACTTAAAATTATGTTCTCAAGCTGAATCCATTTACCTTAAAATGTCTCAAGTTTATCCTTCTTCATAAGTAGTACTCCATTGTATATAAAAACCATGTTTTCTTTATCCATCTATCAATGGACATCTGGGATGTTTTCAAGATTTAGCTATTATAAGGGCTGGGGATTTAGCTCAGTGGTTTCCCCACCTGCCTTGCAAGTGAAAGGACCCGCGTTTGATCTCTAGTACCAAAAAAAAAAAAAAA